CCCCCCCGCCTTCAGCTGCCGGCTCCGCGCGCGTCTCGCGTCACCCTGGCAACCGCAGCCCGGGTCCTGGCGCCAGCTGCGCGCGCTGAGTAGAAAAGCTTGAAGATCAAGGCCCACCCAGGTGAGCAGTGGGTCAGCTGAGTGGTCCAGCTGCCTCCGCGAAAAGGGGGAAAGGCTGCTCATGGGGGACAGGAAGGGGACAGGGCCGCTCCCTGTCCTTGGTTAGATTGTCTGGGCTAGTGTGATCGTCTTCTATGTCGACCTTCGCCCAGGTAGGTCTGCATCTGCGCTCCAGACCAAGATCGGGCTAGATTCTGTCAGTACAAAGATCCATAAAAGGTGAACCCATTTGCGTCTATTTTATTTCATTCCGCTAGTCTCGGGGAGCAGAGCTTTGACATATTACTCGCGTCTGCTAAGTATGTACATGGGAGCCCGTCCAGCCAGCCAGGTATTTGTGATCCAACACCATAGAAAACTGCCTCAAATGAGGCAGTCCCTGTCCCTCTGGATACCCTGTTCCGCACTTTTCATCCCAAGCCAAATAAACCGAGGCTGTAGTCATTTAAGAACGTAATGTCACAGGTGGCATTTCTGTCGAATTGCTCACAGTGTGTTCTGCTCTAGGTCATTAACTTCTAACCCTCTGCCTTTCCAGGCTGGGCATAGCGCGCTGGGGAGGGGGGGCAAAGGAATGCAGAGCTGGGGGTAGGGCACACAGAGAGAGGAGAGAGAGAGAGAGGAGAGAGAGGAGAGAGAGGAGAGAGAGAGAGAAGAGAAGAGAAGAGAAGAGAAGAGAAGAGAAGAGAAGAGAAGAGAAGAGAAGAGAAGGAATGACACCTTCTCTGGGCCCAACCGGTTTACTCCAGACCTGCGTCCTGACACAGGCTGGAGTACTTCACTATCCTGAATCCTCGGAAGAGACGGTAACACTTTAGAAGGAATCCTAGGGCACAAAGAGCTTCTAAGGAACTGACCTTGTAATCATTTCCACATGCAAGACACCTACCTAGATAAGCTCAACCAGAACTTCACAGGCACAGGCCAAAGAATGAGTTCATTAGGTGCCATGCAATCTGCACACTTGGCTGTCCTCACTTATTCCAAAAACAGCTGAAAAGTTTTTGTAGTCCCAAGCAATGCAAATTCTGCCCCTAGAAATTCGGCAGAGAAGGTAAGAGGAAAAGGCTGGATTGCAGATTCTCAACACTGTTTCTATTCTCTATAATCCTGAAGGAGCTTTGGTTCTCCCAATTTAAATCGCAGCACCTGTGACGCGGGATTAGGGAAGAATCACCTGAGGGTTTTTCAACTTGAAAGTAATTGCCTGGCCTTCTGGCTCCTCTCAGGCTGTTGG